CTGCCCATGACGGACGCCCCACGAGCCGCTCCGTGACTTTGGCCCAGGCCCTGTGGAGCCTAGCAAGGGAGGTTCGTTGTTCCCAGATCCAGCTGGCGTATCGGCACACGATGTCGCAGGTGGCGCCGTAGATGGGGTCGTACTCGCGTGCCTTCTGTGTGGCTAGGTACACCGTGACGCTCGACGCACCAGGCCGAGCCCCTGCAAGCCTGCCAGCCTCGGCCCTCAGCACCTGCAACGTATCATCGGTGAGCCCCGACACCCCAGCCCCGTGCGCCGCACTCGGCATGAGGCCCGTCTTCCACAGGCAGGTGGCGCGCCTGCCCACTGCCCCTTTGAATGCTGCCAGCTTGCCGCGCCGCTCCTTGAGTTGCCGCACCCTCTTAGCCGTCTGGAGCCTCGCGATTCTTCGCCCGCCCAGATCATGCCCCAGGTTGCGGGCCCAGCGCATCTTGGTCAGCTTGCGGGCCGCCGCGTGTCGGGCACACTCACGAGCCGCTGCGTCCGATGAGACCAGGTAGCCCGACTTGGTAGGCTGCACGACAATGCCTCGCTCCTGGGCGCCCTCGCGGAACCTGGTGGTGGCCGCCCAAAGCACACCCAGTTGCGAGAGCCGCCTCCCTCGCCACTGCAAGGTGACGTCGTCGATGAGGGCCCTCGGGGTGACGCCTGCATCTCGTACTTGCTCGAGCAGCCTGAACATGAGCAGGGTGACCATAGCACAGGCGTGAGTGCAACCTGCGAGCACGCCCTGATGCGACACGACCGCGTAGGAAACCGAGCCGAAAGCTTGCAGCCGCCTCGGCTGCCTGTATAACTCAATCAGCATCCATACCAATCGCAGCGGCATGCCCAGCAGCCGCGCCTCGATGAGTAGCCACTCGGGCTTGATCGTCTCAAAGAACTTCCACGCGTCCAGCATGACGATTACCACGTGCTCGTCCAGGCAGTCCGAGATCTCCGTCTCGAGGTTGAGGTCGAAGGCGGAGTCGGAGGAGGATCTGCCGCCGCCCATGCCCCAAATACTGGCATTGGGGTGCGCAGTGAGCCACGCCTTGGACGTCGCAGCACGAGCCCTCGACCACCATCGGATTAGAGAATGCATCAGCGTGATTAGCCTGCAGCCGCCAGAGGCCTTGGGGATGCGACACATAGCATGCCACAGCCTATCGCTGGGCCAGGCCCCCAGCGCCTCGCACTTCATGAAGAGCTGGCCGCAGGTGTACACGCCCTCGTCCGTGAGAAAGGTGAGCGCGCGCATGCCGATCTGCGCCGGGCCAAGCGCCGTGGTGGTGGGGAAGCTGCAGGCGGCCCGCTGCAGCGTCTCCACGGTGAGGTCCTCTAGGTCGTCCCATTCGTCGAAGTCAGCTGGCCTTTCCAGCGCCTCGAGCTTGTGGCACGACCAGACGTCCTCCCAGGCCTTCATCTCCCGATCGCAAATCAGGTGCTGGCTGGCGACCTGCTGCTGCTGGACGGAGGCCTGTGCGGGACGTCCAGTGGTGAGCTCGGTGTGAGTGCCCTGCCATTGCGCCAGCACCTCCTGCATCGCCCGCAGCTTGGTGAAGCGGTGCGCCTTGCCAGCGCCGTTCCGCAGGCTGTCGTTGGCCCACTGGACCCAGCTCTGCTGCCTGACCTTGAGCGCGTCCGCGTAGGCGTCCTTGGCGAACTGGACGATGCGGCCCGCCTGCTCCAGGAAGTCGATGTTACCGATGACGCGAAAGCCCTGCTCGAAGAAGGCCCTCACCCAATGCGGGAGCAGCGCCAGCGTCTTCTTGCTGTCCATGACCACTCGCCCATACCCCAGCGCCCTCGCGACGAAGTCCGCAAGCTCATGGTACTGCTCGGGGGGAAGGGCGCACTGCGGGCTGGCGGAATGCAGCCTCCTGCTGGCCTTCGCGAGGAACGCACTGACCCCCATGAAGTGACGCGCCCATCGGCCCGCGATCTTGGCCGCGATGACATCAGGCCCCAGTCGGACACGCTGCCCTTGCGGCTTCCACTTGACTGGCGCCATCTTAGTTGCAATGGGCCCCGCACGCCCTTCGAACCGCCTGCGCGCTGCGCCCACCTGGTCGTAGCGGTCCAGCAACTCCTGCTCCAGGGTGCTGACGACCGCGCCCCAGGCTGCCGGCAGCTCCTCGGCGCTGGCCGTGGCGCGCACCTGGGCCAGAGCGGGCGCCCAGTCCTCGACACCTCGGCTGCATCCGATGGGCGGCACCGCTGGGATCGCCCTGGGGGCGATCGGGACCCTCACGCGCATGTCCAGGTCAGCGGCCCGCAGCTCCATGTTGACAGGGAGGTGCGGGGAGGTGATGCCCAACTCGTCCACTCTCGGAGTCGAGATGCGGCTGGCCAGGTTCGCACCGACCAGGAAGTAGTCCAGCACCGATCCGCTGCCCACCTGCGGGCGACAGGTGTCGGCCGACGGCGCTAGCCAAAGGCCCCCCGCCTTCTCCAACTGCGCAAGGGGCAGGAAGCTGGGAGGCCCATTGAAGTCGCCGCCGACGATCCAGTCGATGCCCGAAGCCGTGAGCTTCGTGAGGTAGCGAGTGAGCGCGCCGAAGATGCTTCGGTTCACCTCGTTCATGCCGACGCTGTCTACCAGGTAGGCCGACACGAAGACAATGCCACCACGTACTCCCCAATGCACGTGGGCGGCCACCAGTCGCCCTGGCCAAAGCGTAGCCGAGGGCAGCAGTGGCGGGGCCGTGACGGGGATGTTCTTGCGGGCCAGGACAGCGACCCCGCCCGTCGTGCCCTCCGCGGAGGTGGGGCCTGCCACCGCTGGCGCCCAGATGCCCGCGAACCCGTGATCCAGCACCTCATGCTGCAGGTCGGCGAGCTTCGCCTCGTCCCGTCGGTGATGCTCCTGAACGAGAACGACGTGCGACTCGAGGGTCTCAAGGCACGGCGCCAATGAACCCCAGGAAGTCACGTTGCTGGTAGTGATAGTACCTTTTGCCATCGCTTGTGCGCAGGACATCGCGATGATGAGCTTAGTAAGGATTGAAGCCCCTGACGGCCAGCTCCTTGGCCCGCGCCAGCACGGCGTCGCTGGACTCCTCTGCTGGCCCTGGTGAGAACTCAGCCATGGTTTGCCGTAGCTTCTCGGGCTCCATCGCGGCGGGATCCCAACGTGGCGCTGCGGCTGCGGGAGGGGCGCCGCCTGCGCTGCCTGCGCCCAGCTCGGCGGCGTCGTCGTCGTCTCCATCTGCGGGCGCTGCAGGGGTGCGAGGAGCGCTAGCTGCCTCCGCAGCGTCGGCCCGCTGGCGCTGCCGCCGCAGAGTGAGCTCCTGGAGGGGCCCCCAGAGCGCCGTGGCCAGCCGCTGCGGCAGATCGCCCGCGGCCGGCGCGGTGCCGTCGGGGTGAGCAGCCAGGGCCCCACTGAGAGCCCGCTCCAGGTCGCCGAGGGTGATGCCGCCCGTGTTCTTGATGACGTCGTTCTCCATGGACTGCCCAGGCGGACGATCCTCTGGCGCAGCAGGGACCTGCAGCTGTAGTGCCGCCTGCTCCGCCTGGAGGGCCACCTGCTGCGCCTTGAGCTCCCTGACGCCCTGCCGCTTGAGCTCCAGCTCGTCCTGCGCCTCCTTGACGCGGTCCTCCGCCTCGCGCTCGGCCCGCTCCATCTTGCAGAGCTTGTCCGCCAGGTTCTTCTGCCTGTGGGCCAGCGCCTGCACCCGCGCGTGGAGCGGCTTGGCGGCGAAGAGCCTGTCCTTCGCGGCGGCGAGCCTGCGCTTGAGCTCATCTCGCGGGCCGATGGCCCAGTCGTGCTGCACGTCCTTGAGCGTGGCCAGGCCTGCCTCGCACACCTTGATCTCGTCGGCAGCCGAGGCGTCCTCGCCCGACTTGCCTTCGTCCACGTGCATGGGCGCGGCCCCGCCCTGGTCGGACTCCTGCGTGCGCAGCTTCTTCTTGGCAGCGTCGAGCTCCGCCCTGATGGCCGCGAGCTCGCTCTCGAGCTTGCCCTCAGCTGTCCACGGGGCCCGCTTCTTGCCCTTGGCAGCAGCCCGCGTCGAGGGCTCCTTCGGCGGCACGGGCCCGCCGTACACATCCTTCTTGTGGAGCCTGCACCCTTGGCACTTGAGCGCGGTCCCGTAGTTGATGAGCTGCTTGCCGCGCTTGGTCGTACAGCTCCTGCATACCCAATCCTGGCGCTCCTTTCGGCCGGCGCCAGCCATGGTGCTGCAGTCTGCACTTGGGAAAGAGAAAGGGCTGTCGGGCCCGAGAGCCCTGGCACTGGCCGCGGACTAGCGGTATCCACTTGTTCCCCTGTGGAACTGGGCATCTTGAGCCAAAATGGCTACGGAGGAGGAGGAGGAGGAGGAGGGAGGGGGAGGGGGAGGAGGAGGAGGAGGAGGAGGAGGAGGAGGAGGAGGAGGAGGAGTAGGAGGAGGAGGAGGAGGAGGAGGGAGGAGGAGGAGGAGGAGGAGGAGGAGGAATGCCTTCGTCGGATCTTGAGCCCCGACACCTGTCCCGCGCGGTGCCGTCGCGCCTCTCCGGCGGGACGTGCGCGGCAGGCGGGGCACAGCGCGAGCCCCCGGCAGAGCGTCGGGGCCCTGCCAAGAGAGAGAGAGGGGGGCAGCGCCGACGCGCTTGCCGGTGCACGCGCCGGCATCACTGAAGGGGCCCTGGGACACACAAATAAATACACACAAATGAAAGGATCCTCCATAGTTTCCGGGTTTTGTCTTCCCCCCCACTTCCTATATGTTCCCATATTTTCCTGGGGATCCGGGATCGACCATTCATTGTGTCTGTGTTTTTTCCCTCCTGACAAGAGAGGGGAAGAAGCAGTGCACGAACACAAGCTTTCGAAGGTCTGCGCGGAGTTCTCGGATCTGCTCGGGCGCCAGGTGCGGCGCCGGAGGCGCCGCCAGGAGGCTCCCGCGCCGATCCGAGAGATCTGCGAGGACCTCCGAAGTGTTGCGTTTATGTAGATGTGTCCTTCCTCGAGCCGAGCTTCCCTGGAGCAGCTGCTCCTCCAAAACGAAGCGGCGCTCCTCGCCCGGCGGCGACAGCAGCGAGAAGACCTCGCCGATCTGCTCCGACGTCGGGGAGTCCTTCTAGATGCCGGGGCTCTCTTTTGAATGGAGCAGCAAGAACGCCCGCCCCGCTTATACACATCGGCTGTTCGTCGCGAGACCCCATGCCATGGCAGCCCCGGAGCGTTGGCAGTGATCTCCAATGCTGTCTTTTCTACGGCAACGCAGCCCAATGAAGCAAGCTTGGCCCCCCTGAGCTTGTCACTTGCAGCGAACACCTGCGAAAGCGTAAAACTGAAGAGTGCCACTATCGTGTGAGACTCAAGACAGGACGCATGACCGATCGCGCTTCGAAACGTGCACACGAGGACCACGGCGGCAAAGGCGGCAGCTGAGGACAGGTGTGCTGGAAACCACGGAGAGAAATAACGGACTTGAGACGTAAGACGTCGCACGACTTGAGAGGAATAACGGATCGACGAGATGCTCGATCGAGAGGAAGGTGCGACACCTCCGCACACGATAGCGCGAACAGGACGGGCCTCCACACCCTGCTGTTGGCGGCGCGCAGGCAGAGGTGGGCGGGAGGGACGGCCATCTGAAGAGTAAAACGACGCGAAGATCGGGACAAAATCGGATCGGGATAACTCGAAATCTCTGAGAATCGGCGGGTTTGGAGGATGTATTGGGCGCCGCGGCAGCTCCAGAGCGTTCCGGAACGCTCTGAGAGCGCTCCGGAACGCTCTGGAGCGATTTATCCCGATCCTAGCCCTGTTTTAAAGAGGCAGGGGACTTTTTCTGAGGAGCGACGAGCGGCAACAGCAGCAGCTCTCGGAGGACCCGCGGACCTCCGAAAGCTTGTGCCCGTGCAGCCCTGTCTCTTGCGATGCTCAGAACGGCCGGGCGTTCTCCGAGAAGGCCCCGTAGGAGGCAGGAGGGCTGCCGAGAAGCCCTGCCCTCCAAGAAGTCCGCCCCCCGCGCTGGCTGCCCCCTCCTGCGAGCCCGCCAGGCCACCGCGAGCGGCGCTCCGCGCCACACGTTCGCGCGCAGGCTCGCCTCCCAAGGCCCTCAGGCCAGCGCATGGAAGTGCACAGCGAGGAGGGGAGGGGAGGCCATCAGTGGAATGTCACCGACCTCGGTGGTTCTTGGAAACGGCAAGGCCGTTTCTTCACCTTTTCCACAAATCCTGATCTTGAGCATGATAACGGTTGGAAAAAAACAGTTCGCCGAAACGGGAAGAACGCGTTCAGGACAGAAACTGGAGCCTGAACCAAAAAGCAAAACGGCCCTGCCGCTTGGCTCGTTGACGTCGACGACGACGACGACCGCCACCACCACCACCGCGACGACGACGCCGAGGGCGCCGAGGCCTCGCCAGAGTGTGGCGGGCAGGGAGCGGTGGGCGGAGCCCAGGCCCAGGCACCGACTGGTGGTCGGCGTGCTGCGCCCGCGCGCTGCGCGGGGGGGGCGCAGCTGGCCGGGGCCGGCGGGTGGCAGGCCCCATGAGCGGGTGCCCGCCCGGCGAGGCGCGCCCCCGCTTCTCTGGACAAGCGCGTGCCACTGCTCGCAAAGCCACTGCTCGCAAATGGCCTGGATCCGCCGGGGGGATTTACGATGCGGTATACATATATATATATATATATATATATATATATATATTTGTATTATTATTATTACTATTATTATTGATATTAATTTATTTATTATTATTAATATTAATATTAATATTGATATTAATATTGTTATTATTATATTACTCTTACTATTATTAGTATTATCAGTATTATTAGTATTGTTATTAGTGTTGTTGATATTATTATTATTATTATATATATAAGTATACATATATATATATATAGATTAAATATCCGCCGTCTCCCTTGTGGGGGCACCAGGCTGTAGGGCGAAGGTTCGCAGTTTCCTGTGCCAGTTGCAGCTTCCAATTTCCACTGTTACAGTTCTGCTTCTTGCTGCTTACTGTTCCTTTTTGACTTCTTGCTGCTTACTGTTCCTTGTTGATGGACCGCGCGAAGGGGGGAGGCCCAATACGGGGATTTTTACCACGCCCAGATCGTATGCTCTGAATTGCTGGGGTGGGTAAAAATGTACACCCCTCACGCAGATCGGCGGGGTCAGGGTCCAAAAACACATGGGATTTGCAACATTTCTGAAATTCGGTGGCACCCCTCACGCAGATCGGCAGGGTCAGGGTCCACAAACACAAAGGATTTGCCACTTTTCTGAAATTCGGTGGCACCCCTCATGCAAATCGGCGGGGTCAAGGTCCAAAAACAAAAGGGATTTGCCACTTTTCTAAAATTCGGTGGCACCCCTCAAGCAGATCGGCGGGGTCAGGATCCAAAAACACATGGGATTTGCACTTTTCCAAAATTTCTTTCACCCCTCATGCAGATCGGCGGGGTCAGGGTCCAAAAACAAAAAGGATTTGCCACTTGTCTGAAATTCGGTGGCACCCCTCACGCAGATCGGCTGGGTCAGGGTGCAAAAACAAAAGGGATTTTCCACATTTCTGAAATTCGGTGGCACCCCTCATGCAGATCGGCGGGGTCAGGATCCAAAAACACAAAGGATTTGCAAATTTTCGGAAATTCGGTGGCACCCCTCACGCAGATCGGCAGGGTCAGGGCTCAAAAACAAAAAGGATTTGCAACATTTCTAACATGTCCTGGCACCCCTCACGCAGATCGGCGGGGTCAGGGTCCAAAAACAAAAAGGATTTGCCACATTTCTGAAATTGGGCGGCACCCCTCACGCATATCCGTAGGGTCAGGGTCAAAAAAAACGAGGGATTTGCTACATTTCTGAAAATCGGCGGCACCCCGCACGCAGATCGGTAGGTTCAGGGTCGAAAAACAAACAGGTCCCGACACTGCTCCACGGCGAAGCCAATTGCCTCATGACTTCGCTCTTCCATGGCCCATTCTCCGAGAGAGGGGGCCAGCGGCAGCGGGCGGAGCCCTGACGGATATATTACATCGAGGCAAACACATGTTTTTCGACGTTTTTTTCTGACGTTTTTTCGAGTAGGTGTGTGCTCGACGCTTTGGCGAATTTATGTGTGTGCTCGAGTAGCTTTTGTCGGACGTTTTTTCCTACGTTTTTTGGCGAATGCTCTATGTGTGCTCGGACGTTTTTTCGAGTAGGCACATCTGCGAGTGCTGAAACGCGCTCGGTGCTCCTCGCCCCGCCCCTCCCCCTTGCGGCTGTCTGGCGCCCGCGGTGGGCCCCGCTGCCGGCGCGCGCCCGCTGCGCGCGCCAGGGGCGCCGCGTGCTCCACGCGACGTGGGCCAGGTGCGCAGCGCGTGCTCCAGCCGCGCCCTGTGCGAGCGTTCTGCCCCTCCCCTTCTCGCATCCCCTCCTCCTCCTCCTCCTCCTCTCCTCCTGCTGCTCCTCCTCCTCCCCTCCACTCCCCTCCCCTCCTCGTCCTGCCTCCCCTCCCTCCACCCACCCCCCCGGGGGGGGGGGGGGCCAAGGGGCGGGAGGCAAGACTGAGGCGGGGCGAAGAGAAGATCGGGCAGGATCAACTCGGGATCTCGGAGCGCCGGCGTGCCCAGGAGACGAGTCGGGCGCCGCCACCACAGCCCACGGAGCGCTCCAGAGTGCCCCAGGATCGTTCCAGAGCGCTGGAGCGATGTATGACTGTCCTATCACATCTCCTCGCAACATCGCACGCGGAGCACTTCGAGCATACGAGGTTGTTCCGACGATTGTTCCGCGAAGTCTGAACAACACTGTCCCACGCCCACCCTGGGCACGGGCCACGGGAAAGGGAAGGGAGGCTGGCTGCACACAGTCCCAGAAATCCGACGTCGCGGAAAGAATCACAACGTCAAAACACATCACGACCAAGGCTCTCGCCCTCGGCGTTCAACGGGCTGGACCCATCCGCGAGGACCACGAAGGCCCGAGATCGGGCAAGGAAGGCCCGCCATGATCTTCAAACGACACCGGGACCCGCCAAGACCACCGATGTCGTGGTTTCCGTACGTACCCCCCGGACCTCTCGAACCCTTCTCGAGGTCCTGGTCCTCAATCCGGGTTTGCTCTAATTGGCCATGGGTCCTAGGGCCCCCGAAGCCAGGAGGCCCGCCAGCAATGACAAAGACACGACTGGGAATCCGAGGGCGCTCCTCGAAGTCCATGAATACCACGGCGAGCTTGAACTCGTCCCTGTCTATCAGCTGGTTGCCGTCGACGTCCTCGGGCGGGCGGTAACGGGGGGTGACCTGCATGCGAGGTGGAGAAAATGGGCCCTAAAAAGGCGCACTCTGGTGCCTCTCAGGGCCCATGCTGGCTCCACAAGGGGCCCCCTCAAGTGCCACCTTAGGGCCCCTGAACTTCCCCCCCCCCAGTGAGGGTCACCCCCCCCCCACCCCCACTGCTGCCCGCCCGACGTCCACGTACTGGAAGATCTCCGGCACCGACAGGCGCGCGTCGCCCAGCCACTCGTCGATGGCTCCTGCCGGCGATAATGGCGAGCAACGAGGGCGCTCGGAGGGCAGCGGGCACGCCCACCACCCAAAGAAAGGCGTGGCCCACGGGGCGCCCCCCTGGGCCCCTCAGGGCGGGGTGTGCAGGCCCTCCCCCGCCCGAGGCCAGGGAGGCGCACCACCACGGGTCTCCGAAGAGAGGGCTCCTTCAATCCACGCGCGTGTTTGTGCCTCGCTTTCGGCACCCTGTCTGGACGCCCGAAGCGGGTACGGAGAAAAGGGTACAGGGCAGCTCAATACATGGGATTCAAAAATACATGTGATTTTAATATATGACTAATGTATGAATGAATTTATGCATGAACTCATCGTTGTTTTTAATACTGATCCGCACGTGGAGCATGTATTAAAAGCGACACTGTACGATGCCGAACAACAAACGTTGTCCAGAACCGACAGCGGACCCTGTTGCGCAGGCGGCATTTTGTCTTCGGAGAGTTAACGTCCGCAGCAGCGCGGACAGCGAGTCCTGTTCAAAATGGAGAGGAAAGGCTGTTGGGCATTGTACCCATTTCTTTCCGTACCCATTTCGATCGTCCCGATCCTGGGCCCGTGATCTAGCCCTGGGACAATCAAAAATGGATTCGGGACCAAAAACGACCCCAGCGGAAGAGGTTGGGACCCCTGGGGCCACGGATTGAAGAACCATACGGCGAGGGCACTGGAGAAGGAGCCACTTGATTTTTAAGGACTCCGGGGTCTGGAAGATGGTAGGTTGCACTCCAACCGTGGAGCGGCCGTGGATATCACCGCCGCCCTCGGTAGATACGCAACCCATCCAGGGTCCAGAGCCTCCCGGGCACCTTCCTGCACGACCGCCCCCACCGTACCAGAGGCTGCCCGGGGGAAGGCGTGCTGCAGGCTCGTGCCGTGGCGGCCCCGGCCTGGGCTTCCGACAGCACGTGGCCCCCTCGACCTCCACAACCACCCGCGGCTGTCCGATCGCCAAGTCGCCCCATAGAGTGGCCGCTTCCGGGCCGCCCGCGGCCTTCGACCTCCCACGCTCGCACTCGGGTCGCCGCCGCGGCGACACGGCGCGCACCTGCCGCATGCACCATGCCCTGGCCATCGCTCGGACGCCCAATCCGTGTTTTTGTTGGTTTCGTGCATGATTTTTTCGCCAAGTGATCAAGGATGCTCCTCGATGGTCCTCGCCGAAGGAAAAACGCACACGTCCGAGCGATGCCAAGTGCCGAGGGCCCAGGATGGCCCTGGCCGGGCGTGGTGCACGCGGACGCCCTCTGCGGACCGGGGGGCCACCGGCCGAACGCCGCTACCGGCACGTCGGCGCCCTGGGCCCCCATGCTGGGGTCCACCCTGGGCAGCGCTCTCCTCCGGTGCCGGCCCTTGAGGGGCCCCGACCGAGTGTTCGTTACAACGGGGGGGGCAGTGGACGTGGGGTGAAGATGATGGTAACAGCACAAGACGAACACACACACACACACACACACACTCAAACATATAGGGAGGAGGAATGGGGAAGGGCAAAGCGATGAAGGCGCTTCAGGTATGGGTGAGAGTTGTCGGACCCCGAGGGGGTCTCCTGTTCGAGCGGCGCCCCTAGCCCCCCCCCCCTGGAATTCAACCGTGGGGATTCTGGGGGTCGCAGGTCGTACAAGTAGGGGTGCGAGCCGTCAGCCCCCTGAGGAGGAGAGCGCACCTGTCGTGCACCTTTTCGGCCCGCGGAGAGGGGGCTCTGTCCTGCGTCCCTCGATCCCCCCTCGTCGTCTGCCCCCCCCCGCGGCCGTCGGCCGGGCCCAGCAGGCCCGAAACGGGCACCCGGCGGCCGCAGCTGCGGGCAGACCCTGCCCGAGCCTCGAGGCTCGCCGTGGGCCGAGTGGAGAGCGGGCGTGGGAAGGCCTCGGGCTGCGCACCGAGAGCCCTCCCGGGGAGCCAGGCCCCGCGAGCAGCACCAGCTGGCCCAGCAGGCCCCCCGAGTGGTCTGGGGCGGTCTCAGCACGGGCGCCGCCGGAGGCGCCAGAACGTTGAGACCGCCCCGGGCTGCCCAATGGGGGCCTGTTGAGGCCAGATGGGACTGCTCGGGGGGGCCTGCTGAGGCCAGCTGGGACTATCTTCAGGTCGGGCATGGCCTCCTACAGGCGGATTCTGGGAGAAAAAAAACAAACATATTCCAAACAAACAAACAAACAAAAGAGCTCGAAAAAACGTCCCCCTATTGTTTGTTCTTGCTGTGTTCGAAGACTCGTCCTGTCGAGGGACACGCCAGACTTCAGACCATCCCCCGCGGCCGCCAGCGCCGCCCCCATGATGGCTCGCATCCCTTACCATTCTGTCGATGCGGTTCCGGAGCCCGAACGTGGCCCACAGAAGGCCGATCTGCGCATCAGCGCCGCCGTGGTGAAGCTCTCGTCGAGCTCTAGCTCATGGAACGAGCCTCGACCTTTCAGGGGGCGAGGAAAGCAGCAAAAATAGTACTTAAGGGAAGAGTCTGCTTGCCCCCTCCCCCGGGCGCGCGGGCCGGGGTGCGCGGGGCTGGGCCCAGGGGCCCGGGCGGGGCGGGGGACCCCCCCCCCTCGCTCTCCGGGCCTCCGCCGCGGGGCCCCGTGGCCTCGCGGCGAGGCCCGCGGCCCCGGCGGCCTCGCGCTTTTTTTGCGCCCGAGGGCGGGCGGGGGACGGGCAGGAGCGGGCGCGCGGCGACGAGGGGGGCTCCGTCTGCCTTGGAGCGCCTTGGAGCGCCTGCAGGACCGGCGGGAGCCGGACGGAGCCCCACCCAGGAAGCAGCCGAAGGGATTGCGTCCTCACCGAACCTGACCTGACCTAACCCAGGGCGCGGCGGCGAGGGGGGGGCTCCTCGAGGAGCGCTTAAGGGCGCCTGCAGGACCGGCGGGAGCCTGGCCGGACCTATAGACCCAGGAAGCAGCCGAAGGGAGAACCCGAAGAGGAGGCCCCCAGGGGGGGGGGCATCGGCGGAGGGCCTCCTCGCGCCGCTCGCCCGGCCCTCGTCGCAGGCCGCCGCCGCCGATCTCTCGCGGGGGGGCGCAGAGGTGGGGTATACAAGGGCTCCCAACTTCGTGCTTCGCGGCTGCGCGAGGCGCGAAGTGCGAATAACTTCGCGCCCTCTCGCGCCGCCTCCCAGGGGAGAAGCGGGGAGGATGAGGAGGCATCGGAGCCGAACCGCGAAGCGCGAAGAGCTTCGCGCCCTTGAGGGCGCCCTTGGGTAAAGGGGCAGAGGCTCGAGGTGGGGTTTGGGAGGGCACACCGCTGCGGACGGCCCCTGGCAGCAGGAAGCGCGCTCAACGGGAGCAGCAGACGGCCCTGGCCCGCTCCCCAGTGCCACCTCGGGATGACCCCCCTCCCTTTCTACGAAGCCCCGATGATCGGGCCCATCCTTCCGAGTCCTTGCCCGGCCCTCGCGCGGCCGAGCCGGGTTCCCGCAGGGCCGAGCCCCACCCCGGTCAAGAGCTCGAGGGGGGGGGGGAGATCGCGGTCCGAGGCGCGCGCGCGCGGACGACTGCGGGGGCCGAACGTGGGACGGGTGGCCGCGAGATCTGGCCCCGGCAAGGCTGTGCGCTCGCCCCTGGAGCCCTCACCGAAGGGGCGGGCCACTGCAGACCCAGACACCCGACGTCGCGTGCTGCCGTGCTCGCGGCACGCCTCCCCCGAGGTCTGGAGCCCTGCCCGGGGACCGGCCTTCCACCCTTCGAGTAGTGGATCGACTACAGAATCGATGTACCCCAAAGTTGAAATTCTCGCCGGGTCTCCCAAGAGTGCGTCGAATGGCTGTAGATCTACGAACATTCGACCCATCCTTCGCAGACCCGACGAACAAATCGAATCTGGAGTGAATCAGTTCTGCAGTCGATCCCCCACTCGCACCCTGAGTCGTGTTGGAGCGTTTCCTTGACGGCCGCACGGCGCCCCTCGCGGCTCGTGTCGCGACGGACGCCGACGGAAGGCCGAGTCGGGGGAGCCCGTGCGCGCGGCGGCAGGCACTCGATGTCGGCGGCGACCGCGCGAGGGCGCTGGCTTGGCCGGTGCCTCTGGCGGGCCGAGGCTCGGCGATGCCATGGGGCAGCGAGAGGGGGCGCACCAGCTCAGGGGGAAGCGACATCGACCCCTGCAGTCAGCAACACGCCCCCCCGACAGCCAAGCCGCGCACGGCCTGAGGCGGGCCATCGGGCCCCTCTCGGCGATCAGTGGGCCGTTGGGGGCCGATGGGCCCCCCCCTGGGGCCTCTCAGCCTCCGACGCGGCCCCTGATCCACACACGCTTTTCCCTCGCGCGTGGACGTGCTCACCCGTGCCACTGCGGGTGCGACGCCCGGACGCGGCTCAGGCACGCCTGGGGGGCCTTCGGAGCGGGGCCAGGGGCGAGCGCGGGAGTCGCACGAGGGGCTCGGGCTCCCCCGGGGGCCCCGAGGACCTGGCCGGCACCAGCGCTTCCCCAACGCGCCGAGCCTCGGCCGCCGCCCACACGTGCAGCGCCACATGCGCGAGCGCGCCACCGGAGGGCGGCGCTTCACGCCGCGCCCCGTGCAGCCGAGGCTGCGCGTGCCACGCGGGCGGCGGCGCAGCAAAGCACACGAGTGCGCGCTCTGGAGCCCTGGTGATCGAGGCCGTGGAGGGCAGGAAGAGACGGCTGCGCACGACTCGACATGACTGCCTTCATGGCCGGCACTCATCGAACAGCCTCTGCACCCACGTGTCTGGCGGGTCCTGCGGCACCCGCACCCGCACCACCGCCCGAAGCGCGCGCACTGCCACCGACATTACCGCGTGCTGCGGAGATCACTGGCTTGCCGATACCCAGAGCAGGGCGAGTTGAGGCAACGGCAGCTCAAAATCGGTCCCCGAGCCCTCCCAGGGTCCAGCCGCACCAGTTTGCCGAGCTGCGCTCAGCCGTGGAGACGAGGCGGCCCCCCGAAGGCCAACTACCGTTGCCTCAGCTCGCCCTCCTCTGAGATACTGCCGAAGCTGTAGAGCATCTCAGCCGCACGAAAGCGGAGGCA